TTCCACACGAGGGTCAATGACCGGCCGTGGATGGGCGCGCATCAGAGCCGCCTTACGGACAGCTTCCAGCTGTTTTATCGGTGAGGACACAACGTCCTTCAGGTGACGAGAAATCAGGAAACGGACATGGGGTCCGCAAGGCGACCGCACGCCTGAGTACGGCCGAGACGAGGAGACAGACTACACGTTGACGAAGTTTGACTCGGGGTCTTTCAGGGAAATCGATTTCAAGGTCGCAATCACACGAATCTTCTTGTCTAACTACCACAATTAAAAGCTACAAGTGCGCAAGATCAGTGAATCCTGTGGCGTTCGTTTTGACGATGATTTAGATCCAAAGACCACCGCACACATAATTGCGAAAGCCGTAGGCTCCTTAAAAACCGTGTACGTTCTTATACAATTCGCGTATGACACCGAATTGGTCGATCTAATCAAGAGAATGTTTTGTATAGGTAGCAGTATCTTATGAACTTCGAATCGCGTCGCCTCGTTGGGTATTTAAAGCATTCGAGCTCAAAAACTATTACTTGCTCAAAGTTCTTAGCTTCAATTGTTAGAAGGTCTTCGTGTCTGCACGACGGGATTGACAGTAAAGGAAAAGGAGACAGTATCACGGCTAGTCACGACCAATGGAGGTCAGTATGATGACATATTGGAAACGGGTATGACCAATATTTTTATAGCACGACGCCCAAAAGGAGCTAAATACAATGCTGCGACTGCAGCATTGTATTTAGCTCCTTCTGGGCGTCCAATAGTGCATCATGGTTGGTTATGTGCTTGTTTAGAAAGACAATTATTGGTACAAGGAGACGAATTTACTCTTTGTCTAAAAATGAATGACTCAAAGTTACTTCCGACAAATATTGCATCGACCCAATTGAAGGAGACACAGATATAAGTATCTGATTTGTCAGCGATTGTAAAAAATCACGTCAAAGGAAGGTTGTGCAAATAGTAACGAAGATTGGATGGATCTATTTGACGGATGTGTGGTCTACTTGCTCGAATTTTAGCCTCGAGGCGGACGTCGCCATCTTCCTCCCCCGTCACACCGTTGACGAGGGTGCATAACTGTGTACCGTCGTCTACGGTAGACACACCCTGGATTAGGGTCGACGCCCGGCGTCTTGTAGCCAGCATACGGCGTCGCCGTCGCCTCTTCACAGAGGATCTATGTCCCGGTAAGACCAGGGTGAACACGCACTCCGATTCGTCCAGTGTCACCCTCACTATCCGCTCCTTTGGAGCTTTGATGATATCTACAACATCTTTAGAAGAGCTGCTGACCCGTAGTCTTCGTCCAGTGGATAACGTGCTACTCCACGCGCATCTGAAGGGCCGTGCCCAAGATGCCTCGGACTCTGTCCAACCACGCCATCAATGGCATACAGCAGTGCTCAGTGGTTTACGTGCCACTTCACGTGCATCACGGATCTCGCCCTCTATTTCTCGGCCCTTGGCCGACCATGTCACGCATGACATGCAGCGACTTCTTTGAAACTTGAGCAGCGCTCAGTGGGTTACGTGCCACTTCAGGATCAGCCCGCGAGCCACGCTCGGGACTCCTGTCCGATACACCGTTGGTGTCAACCAACTCGGACATTCCAATGCTTAGCACGTTGACCGTCTTGGTTTAGTGCTCTCGCCAATCGCGCTATTGTCTCCTAGCAGAGATGTAGCATGACTCACAAAAGATCCACCAGGATACGTGCGCGTACGCCCAGGGTCATCAACCTTCAATCAATCCATGGCTCATGGTGTTCCAACCATGCTATACCAAGGATAAGATCGTACCTTGCATATAGGTCTAAAACTTGACAGCGTTCCACGCTATCAAAGTCAAGGAACTTGACGCCAAAGTCCACAGGGACCCCTGTCACAGCGACACGCGTCGAACAGTAACGATGTCACTCAACCGCGCTTCCAGCGCCTCAGTATACAGCTGATTTTCTTCTATCGTGGAGCGTCGAGCATTATTGCCCAACGCCCCGGAAACTTTGAAAATTCTTTAATAGCTTCTCGAAAATCTTTTTGGTCGCCTCAATGACCGGCAAGATTGAAGGACGAGCTGAGAACATCATCGTTGACACTCACGGAACACTGAGTGTGTGGAGTTGAGCGCTTGTTTTTTAACAGTCCTCCGGATCTATCTACTCTCTGTGAAATGCATGGCACATTGTGGTGACAAAATACTCGCCAAGGTATCACATCGAGGAGCGCGTCAAAAGATGAATCTGTTTCCGAAATCAGATATTGCGTCGCACATCGATGGCTCTTACAAAGGCAACACTATGACGTCATAGGCGTTTTCTTCGAAGCAAGCCCAGTGGAAATATAATACAAAATTGATTATTGACTGCTTATAGGGAGAGTCGATGTGGATTTTGTTTTACATCTCTGACTGTTTTGTTTGTAAAATTTCTTACAGCAGTAAGTACTTTGATCTGGATGCTCTGGGAGGGGCTGATTATTCCCTGGGGCTATCTACCGTACTAACGACACTCAACCGTCTGATATTACAGCAGTCTAAGGTGCGTTGTAGATACGCACATACCTTCTTCACATATTCATTTGCCTAGAGTCATGAAAACATGGAAGGTCAGATGTGGACATCGGTATATGAGCATTCCTTGCGTTTATGCGCTAAAATGCTTTTTCAGCGTATACATATGTATTTTTGGCGCCAGTAAATTAAAGAGACTTTTAGGAAGATCCTGCAGCGGGATGGCAGTAAACTTTGCACAGAGGAAGCTTTGACTCAAAGAGCCTACTTGTACTACGCTCAAAGATTGAGCTCGTACGCTCCATTCAAGAGCGGATCCGGGAGCTTCTACCGTGACATGATCTCACTGTGTTGGATTTTTTGTGCGCACACCGGAAATGTAACTCTTGAACCTCAACGTCAGCATGAACCAGTGGTTGTAAGGGAGAAAATCTAATCCCTAGCCACTCCATGTGGAAGATCGTTCTTTCTACAAACCTATGGTGATTCACTGTCCCGCTCGGTACGCGTGCCTCGACATCGCTGACCACCTATTAACAACCCATAAATCTCACTTGACT